AATTATATCCATCTAACCAATTGGGGAGTGTCTTATTTGTGTGTATGGATAGATTACAGCTAATTAAAAGCTTGCTCCTGATTGGCTACTCAACTTTAATACTACCAAGCCAATCAGTAAATATGTTACTGCACTATCAGCCTATCAAATCCTTGCTGACCTATTTAACATTAACTGAAAATAATACTTATTTGTTCATACATTTGTACAGAAAGACAAAACATTCATAATGCGTCACTATGTGATCTGTGGTACAAATCAAGGCAGACTGTTTAAGAACCATAAATGGAATGTCACATCAACAAGTGATCATCAACCTGACATGGTTAAGTTCATTCAAGACATGGAACCCAGTACAGCTTTAAGTAACAAGATTATCATAGAAGTTGTAAGTTTGGAAAGTCTGTTTGATGAGACATCAAAGCTTTTACCTCATTTTCAAACTCAATCTTTGACCCATCCACTCAATTATCATCAACCATGATCACTTTATTGTTAACTTTGACCCACTTACCGCCACTTTCAACTTTGACCCTCCACCGCCACTGTCAGCTTTGGCCCCTCCACCGGCCCTGTCAGCTTTGGCCCCTTTATTGCCACTGTCAGCTTTGGCCCCCTCCACTGCCACTGTCAGCTTTGGCCCCTCCACCGGCCACCACTGTCAGCTTTGGCCCCTTTATCGCCACTGTCAGCTTTGGCCCCTCCACCGGCCGCCACTGTCAGCTTTGGCCCCTCCACTGCCACTGTCAGCTTTGGCCCCTCCACCGCCACTGTCAGCTTTGGCCCCTCCACCGCCTCTGTCAGCTTTGGCCCCTCCACCGACCACCACTGTCAGCTTTGGCCCTTTTATCGCCACTGTCAGCTTTGGCCCCTCCACCGGCCGCCACTGTCAGCTTTGACCCCTCCACCGCCACTGTCAGCTTTGGCCCCTCCACCGCCACTGTCAGCTTTGGCCCCTCCACTGCCACTGTCAGCTTTGGCCCCTCCACCGCCACTGTCAGCTGTGGCTCCTTTATCGCCACTGTCAGCTTTGGCCCCTCCACTGCCACTTCCAGCTTTGGCCCCTCCACCGCCACTGTCAGCTTTGGCCCCTCCACCGCCACTGTCAGCTTTGGCCCCTCCACCGGCCCTGTCAGCTTTGTCCCCTCCACCGCTACTGTCAGCTTTGGCCCTCCACCACCACTGTCAGCTTTGGCCCCTCCACTGCCACTGTCAGCTTTGGCCCCTCCATCGCCACTGTCAACTTTGGTCCCTTGACCATCACTGTCAACT